GCGAAGTTCAACGTTTTGGAGATTCATGAACATTTTGAAACGTTTCTTGACAAACGCGAACACGCGATCGAGGTGAGATTCAAGCTTTAGAAACTGATGGATTTTTGTTTTACCCAAAAAATTACGCCGATCGTTGATTATTTTATGCTCTAAAGAAGAAGTGACTCGATTCTAGTTCCTTTTCAGAGTTCTTGATTTAGAAAAATGGAAATGCTCTTGATGAAAAAATTATAATTACGATAGAGTTCACGTAATCTCAAATGAGGCTTAGTTTTTCTGAATCTCTTATTTGCACTTCAGACTTCGAGAGAACTCGTTCACAAAGTTGGTAAGAAAATTTCTGTAAATTCACGAGTGTTGTTATTGTTGTATCATATGTTTCCGTTCATTTTAACGCATGTAATTACATTATTTAGTCCTGATAGTTCCTCATTTTCTCTCTGGTATTGTAATGAAGGAGCCAAATGAATTTTTATCGGTGTCACAATTGAACTTCCAATCAATGAATACTTCTTTTTCTGCTGCAGTGTCTGGAAGGGGTTCGAAGTAGTTTGAAGCTTCAAGCTCTTGGCGAGGAACCGCAAATTCCAGGAGCTTCTTTGATTTACATGCAAGATCACCAGATGGATCTTAGCAAAGCTGTCAACCGCTTGGGATTTCAACTCGTCTCTATTTGGGATTCATTCACCAAGCTAATTGCATCATTATATCCCTACTTGGTCCCAAACGTGAGTTCCGTTCGTGTGCTACAAGTGCATCACATTCGTGATGTCAAAGGATGTCCAGAAAATTACCGAGTAGCGAAAGTCAGCATTTTTCTTGCTTTACAATTCTTGAATGAGCTTATTCCCCTAGAAAAGGGAATCAAATTTTTTTGTTTTGTGCGTCGATAACGGATGGCAATGAGACTTGTTGCATGCAAAAAATTACCAGGAGAACTTATTTAAAAAAAAAAAAAAAATTTATCTTGATAGTTAAAATCCCGTCGACTCTTGAATGCTATTGCAACGATGTTGAAGCGCATGCTGTGGCCACCTGTAGGATCCCAAAAAATTATGGGCTTTGACTTCGTGTAAAATCAGAAATCCCCGGCCGTGCCGGCAACCACGCTAGAAAAGTTCGTCTTTTTCATGCATTAATAAAAGAATACACACTTCTGAATTTAAAATATCAGAAGGTGCAGCATCTTGTGCTTGGAAGCGCTGTGTAATGATGTCCTCGTGTGGACCTTCCTTCGCAAAAATCGGGGTATATTTTGGAATAATATACCTCCCTAACTTGTGCGTTTTTTTTTTTTTGTTTTTTTCAGTGTCGTAGCATTTGGGACGATGCAAAAGAAGTTCGTCGCGAAATGTGCGCAGCGATGGAAGCTGCGGAATCCGGAGTAGGGTTTCCGGATTTTGACTGGACGGACGAAGGGAAGCGG